AAGAAGATTCAGAGTCCGCCGTGGCACAGCGACTCAAAGTTAAACTATCCGGACAAGTCATGCCACACTTCGAGCAACAAGAAGGTGGAGTCGCGCTGCAACAGGACCAGATGGAGTACATTTTCGATGAATGGATCCATCTGTGCAATAACCCAAACGCATCAGATAATTCAGCCGTTATATTTGTGCAGCAGATGCAACTTAGAGGCATCGTCGAGAGCAAAGACGATCTATTTCTCTTCATTAGAGTTGCCACAGACTTGTCAGTGGATCGATTCGAGCATCTTGTTCACTCTACCGGCACTTTGACCGATGCGTTCCTCGCCGTTGATGCTCTGGCCAAGATAATCAACGTGTTCATTAGGCTGCACAGTGCACCTGAGTCAACGGCTGCTCTCAGCCGAGCAGTTTATCTCGACTCGATTCTGGCCCTGGTTACGTTGGTCCTCAACCATCACCACGTACGACGTGCCGAGCACTTTAACCAGAGAGTGTTCCACCGTCTGTTGTCCGTGCTGTTCTACGAGGTCAATTCGACGGCTGAGCAACTTTCTGAAGAGGAGAGGTCTGAAATATTTCTCAAATTTGGCTCCAGACTCGCCGATCTTGGCCCCAGATACCTTCCTGGCTTTGTCTTCGGGTGGCTGTCACTTCTGCAGCATCGGGTGTTTCTCCCTGGCATCATGAAGGACCGCAATGGCTGGGTTGTCTTCACTAGACTACTTCAACTGCTTTTGGAACACGTCGGAGAACAGGTCAAGGCGGTAGAGCCATCAAACGTGGCTAGAGAAATCTACCGCGCTACGCTGAAGCTGCTGGTAATTTTGCAGCACGATTACGCGGAATATCTTGCAGCGCACTCCCATCAGCTTGCAGCCACCGTTCCCCCGCATTGCAAGCAACTCCTCAACGCCATCTTGACAGCAAATCCGGCTGCTCACCTAAAAATGCCAGATCCTCTATTCCCGGGACTTCAAGTTGATCGTATGGACGAGGTTCGGGAATCACCTGAAGGCCTGGATAACTCCGCATACCAACTGCGGGAATGGGGACTTCTTGAAGTGCTCGATCATGCGCTGCACAATGGTCCTTCCGAAGACATGTTGGCACACGTTGCCCGAGCCATAGTCGACAGCCAATGTACGGAGACAGGTTTTGGCCATGTGCCTATTCACGCCAACCTGAGGGTCATTGATGCTGTGACCTTGCACCTGGGCAACCATGCGGTCGAACAGGCGACGCAGAAGGGCACCGATGTTTTCAACCCCGCCTCCTCAGATGTGGCTATTCTGTTTAGGCTGATTCACGAACTACCTCCCGAAGCCCGTTACTATCTTATCGTGAGCATCACAAATCAGCTCCGATTTCCCAACGCCCACACCAACTACTTCAGTCGGGTCCTTTTGGAGGCCTTTGTTGGGTACAAGAAGGATCCAGAGGAACCAGATATCCAGCAGCAAATCATTCGCGTGCTGTGGGAGCGCCTCATCGGATTCTGGCCCCAGCCGTGGGGTCTGATGGTTACTGTTGTCGAGCTGCTCAAGAATGATAAATACAATTTCTTCGAGCTTCCATTCGTCAAGTCAACCCCTGAGGTAAGTCATTCGCGCCAGTGCCCTTCTCGTGATTTGAGAAACAGACAGCTAATGCAGCATTTCAGGTTCTTGAACGCTTCCATGCAGTCTTGCAGAGGGCATGATCTTCTCCAGGAAGTGTTGACAAATTTGCACTAGCTTCCAGGTGACTGAATTCCGGAGAAAAGGGTCTCTCTCAAGTAATTAAAAAGTGAGGTAGAGAAGCCGAGGATGAAGCGGCGTCAAAGGGGTTGGGAGGGAGTGCTGGCGATGATTTCTAAACAGGCGTACCATGCGGACACTAAAGGACGCAGATGTAGTATTTACATAAATGTAAGATAACGAGAGTTGAGAATTTGGCACGTGTGGAAGCCTTTTGGCATTGATGTGATGTCTGGCTGACCATGAGTTGTCGCGCAAGTTGGCATTGATTCATGTGGATCCACAAGTGCGCTAGGGCCGAGGCATTTCATTCTCTAGACGCCTCTCTTGCCAGCTGGATGTGGTACTCTGAAGGAGCAAATGCTTATCTCGAGGTACCTGACTTCACGATAAGTACGCATGGTGTTTCAGGTATCTTTCATAGGCCCCTCATAACGGAGAAGTCTTCACCCCAACTAATGCAAGTCCCGCATCAGTGTCTATTTCGTGATCAAGTCCACCACGCCCGTCAAATTGCCATTTCTGCCCTTGCGTGAACAGGATTTTTCTACCTTTCAGGATTTCCGGATGGCTTCTCAGCAGGATCTCCAAGACCTCCTGCGGCTTATCACGGCGCGCAAAGTGCCAATGATGACTGCCATGAACCAGGTCAAAGCACTCCAGGCTGTGAACCTTCGCAGGTAGGTTCTGGAGGCACTCTTGAAGTAACGGAAAGTGTTGGAGTATGCCTGCTTATCAAGACGCTTCACAGCATTCAGCAAATTGCAGATGCCCTGCCGGACGTGGTTAAGGGTGCCCTCGGGGACTTCAAAACCGCCAGATCTCTCCAGTCCGCCTGCAAGTCGCATCTGAAGCGGCCAAGCAACAAGCGAGCTGCGGATGCGCCAACCAGTAGGCCCGATCAAAAGCGGCCGAGAAACGATCCTGGTGCTAGCTCGAGCATTGAGTCGGAGCAGCAGAGCACAGGCCAGGAAGATGTTTTGGCATTGCCCGTCATTACCGATGAAGAGGGCATTGAGGGAGTGACCATCTACACCAATCGTGCGCCGGTGATGCTTGCCTTTGCGATCGAGCTTTTGCGGTTCACCATGCCTGAGCAGCCCCTCTCCAGTCGCCTCAGCCTAGCTCAGGCTGTTGTCAGTATCAACTCCAGGTCCAAAGCCGCCAGTCTTGGGTTCACCGACAGTATACCCGAAGGCGTGTCCTGGGGTGAGGGTCAGCCCAAAGTGACAGTCATGGGCAGAAGTGTCACCGTTCTTAAACGGGGTGACTACCATGCCCGTTCGGTACACGAGGCGGCAGTGCCAACCGCTATTGCCACGGCCAATGGGAGGTTGACAAAGAATGCGCCAAGCCAGATGAGCGTGGATAAATCCATGACTGGGCCTTCCAGATGGACTACAAGCACACAGGTGACGCTCAAGTCATCGACGTTCGTCGCGCGAGTCTCGACCCTAGACCAACCCTCGCAAGTCTCTAGTATTCTCCATTCGCTACTCACATCTGAGCCCAGCTTACAAACCGCAACTCACAATGCATGGGGTTACAGGCTATACCAGGGTGATCGAGACGGGGATGGGAATGGAGGTGCCTGCGAAGGCTGCGAAGACGACGGCGAAACAGGATGCGGGGAGTTCATTCTACGTCTTATGAGGGAGACAGGAGCGACTGGGGCTATTGTGGTGCTGACTCGCTGGTATGGAGGTGAAATGTTGGGGCCCGACAGATGGAGACTGATGAGGACTTGCGTGATCGAAGCGCTGTCGGACCGGTTGAGGCTATCCCAGAGCTCTGCTGGACACGATGGAGCCGCTGTATGGGCTCTCGACCTTCAGCACTTAGCCAGCCACCCGGCCAGGAACAGCAACAGTTCCCAAGGCCACGATGGCTGTGATCGCAGCGTCGGGGTAGCAATACACAGGCCTGAGTCGGCAAGAGCGTACCTCTTGAAAAGCTTCGCCTCCGGGCCTAGTTCGCAGGGGAATAGCAAAGGTGGCAAGACCGGTTCCAAAACAAGACTTGCAGTCAGGGAAGAGTCTGAAGCTGAACTGCGCCAGAACCTTGGGAAATTACTAGGTGCCCTGAGGCTCCTCTTTGAAAGTTGGGCGCCCCAGATATCACCGCAAGAAATGGACCGAAGAGCATGGCAGTTCTACGTGCGAGTAAGACCCGAAGTAGAATCGGGGCCATCAGGCTGGGGTGCAAAGGGCTGGCTCAACCTAAACTCCATACTACAGCTACGTCACCAGGAAAAGTCGGATAAGGCTTGACTAGGACAAAAGAGTTTGAATGTGTGACTTGCTGCTCCAGCTTTGTGAGAGGTCAGTCATTCATCTATCTTCAAACATTGTGAACCCGCAACAAAGGCCGGCATCACGTCTGATGAAATCAAACAAGTGGCTTATTACACCGATCACATCTAGATGGAGGGTCTAAGAGAGCTGAAATAGAGTGCGCCGAAAGTCCTACTCCTTCGGCACCGGGGCACCCCGATCCGGTCCCAAACCACGGCCCCACCCGGTGCCCAAAGTGACCAGCGGGTTTGCGACAATTATCTTCCAGCACAAGACTTGAAGCTCAATCTTACCTGCCTCTCGGCACCCTTTCCCAGGACCCTTGGAAACTGCGGTGCTCGCAGCGATTTGTGTTTTTCAGCGTTTGCTAAAATAAACCGGCGCCATTCCCTCCAGCCGTTGACGTCGGCCAGAAGAAGCGCCATGGTTCCACGCCACGGGCTACGAGGTCGAGCTGGTCGCTTGCCCGCCCCAGTGCTGTCTACCACTACTCATGTTCCTGCTCTCCGGCGCTTCACATCGTCTCGGATACAGTGGAAGAAGGAAATCTCTTTGAGGTAAGTTGCCCGGACGGAGCAGCTCCTGCAGCACTAACTGTACTAGGAAGTCTATCAAACCGTTTGCTCCTCGCTCTTCCCATGCAACAACGCCAAAGTCGATAACGAACGATCTCGAGACCGCCGATGCAATATTTAGATCCAGAAAAACGTCTCTTTTGGCTTGTGGCATAGTTGCGTTGGGTATGGGCGTTTATATCAGCACTATGCTCACTTCATGTTGGCTTTCCTCTGGCCGTCAAGGCCCAGAAACTGCTACAGACGCGTGTGCGCCGGGCCAGATTGCCGTGTTCACGGAAGAATCAGCTCGAAGATTTGATGAGTACCTCGATGGGTCGGAATGGATGATGGGGATTACATCTTTAAGGCAGAAACTAGCCGCTGAAGCCTCGGGGCATGTCCTGGAAGTCGCAATGGGTACTGGCCGCAATCTGCCCTTCTACAATTGGAGCCACGTCGTTCAACAACCCAAATCCGCACCCACGAACGATCAAAAAAAAGGGATCACGACACCTGCGCCCATTTTGTCCTTCACGGGTGTGGACATTTCCAAAGAAATGTTGACGGTCGCTTTGGATAAAGTATCCGAAGCTGTCCCCGACCTGAAGGGCGTCGCACCATCAATTGAAACGCAACAGTTGACTCAAGATGGACATAGTGTCTTCTCCTATTTATCGGGCAGACTACGATTCTTTCGCTCTGACGTACACATCTTTGTGCCTGGCCCTATACAAGGTACGGCGGAAACAGCCAAGTACGACACTGTCGTTCAGACGTTTGGCCTTTGCAGTGTGCGAGACCCGGAGAAAGTGGTTAGAACTTTGGCCAGCATGGTGAAACCAAACACTGGGAAAATCATTCTTGTTGAGCACGGGAGGGGGTCGTGGGGCATCGTCAATGGCCTACTAGATAGGTCAGCACCAGCCCACTTTCAGAAGTACGGATGCTGGTGGAATCGAGATATTGCCGAAATCGTCCATAACGCCGCTCAATCCACGCCCGGCCTTGAGGTCGTCAAGATCGAGCGCCCTTACCTGACCCAACTGGGAACCACTTTATGGGTTGAACTGAGAGTCAAGAACACCTGTTGAGTTTCCCATCCGATGTGAGGATGACGATGCTGGCGCTTAGAGCCTCGATGGTCATCAAGAAGTGGAAATGGAAGTGCGCTGCAGGTTTAAGACAGGAGAGGTTGGTTTATTTCATTTCAATCATACCCAAGAGCTTCCGTATTCCCTGTTTTCCGTCTCCCTGGCTCATGAACCCCCGCAAAACCTAGCCTTCGTGAACGCATCCATCCTACATTTGTAATACATCTACTAGCACAACATGTCCTTCGATTTTGAAATCATGATGTCGGTGGCTACAAGTTGTTGTGCCCCATCATCTGCTCTTCACGGCAAACCACAACCACATGACTGATCTTGAAATGATCAATGTTCTAAGGTATTGACCACTTCAAGACGCAGCAACTGTGGATTAGACATGAGATCTCGGCACGGACAAACAAGAAGAATTTCTTCAGCTTCACCTTGCACATCACACACCGCTCAACATGAGTCCAGTAAACAATCTAGCTCGTCGAGTTCAATGTTTTCCGGGCTATGATCCCACTCTAGGAGTGCACCTAGCTTCAGCCAGCTGTCCCCATCAGTGTCCTTCTTGGGAGGCATAGTTGCCTTGATAGCAGGGCTTGTCAGGAAGTGGACTGGGACAACATTGCCATTGGCGGCAACACTTTGTCTCTCTTCGAACATGGTATCCTCACGTGACCCTTCATACGTATTGGCCGTCGAGTGATCAGCAGTAGCTATTGAGAGTTCGCGAGCGAGCTTGCGCTTCTGGAGCACATCGGCGGTCTGCGTGAATTCTCGCTCGTCCTTTTCGAGGGGAGGGGAGGCACTCCGGTGGCTTCTGGCATACCTCAAACTAGTGGGAAGTGACCCAACAGGCGTCGAAGGCATCGCGAAGTCGTCATCCGCATCGTCAAATTCGGGAGAAGACAAATCCACCTCTGGTGATGGACTCAGCTCTCTTCGGCGCAAATCCATGTCATCACCGTCCTCAGACCCAGATGCTACACTGGACAATGATGGAGAGACGACGGACCGCTGAACGAGGAGTGGCATTGTTGAGTCGGGAAGGGGCCGTCTCGGGCAGGTTGTGAGGTAAAAGTAAGTTCTGCGAGGATGTACCGTTTCCGACTCCTTGGCTACAGGACAGGGTGCAAGCGTGCTCCAGCACGATCGTTTGACGTAGGCGGCGAGACGTGAGGATACAATGGCGCAAGGATTGGCAGAGCTTCAATTCGTTAGCACACCGCATGGCAAGAGAGTCGAGGACGATGAGCAAGAACGAATATGAGAGGGAAGAGGCATGGGGTCAGAAGGTGGCAATGATGCGTACTGTTGGACGATAGGCAACTGCTGCGACAAGACAGTCGCCAGCTCCTTAACCAGATGGGGCCTGTTCGCGGTCGCCTGCAGTTGGACGATGACGGCCTCCACAATCTCGTCATTAATCCCTTCCAGCTTGATGTTTATTGATGATATTGTGTTGCCACAGTCTCCGATCTTGACATCCTCAGCCGTCGGGGATGGCGGTGGCGTGTGCTCCAGCATGCTTTTCTCATCGGGGCGCTTGAGCGAATTTCCTCTGCGTTGAGTCTCGTCACCATGGAATCGCTTCTGTCGCTTGTTCGATTGTAGTGTCACGGGGGGTATGATGGTGATGCGACTCGGTGTGCACTCAGAGATGTTCCGATTTGAGCTGGCGGTGGCGGGACTGCGATGGGCATGGCTTCCAGGTACGTGAATTCCCAGGGATGGCAAAGAAAGCGACTTGCGTCGAGTGTTGTACGGCATATTGAATGATGGATTGCTCTGTTTGCTTGGACGGTAGGGCTGGTGCTGAATTAAGAGTTGACTGTAGATGGATCGTCTTGCGACCAAGACACTCGATAACAAATAGCGCGCCTGTTGCTAGAATAGACCAGATGGAGTTCCCCGGATACTTTTCAGGGTCTTTTTCAGAGGGCGGGATGTTTGCTGGGCAACAAACGCTGCGAACCAAAGGCTCCCTTCTCGTGAATTTTTTTTTTTTTTTTCCACACTTCCCTTGTTTCCGACTGGCTGAACGTTTTTTTCCCCACGGTACCCCTGGCAAGAGACGTAAGATGGTGGGGTCAAGTGGAGTAGCGGTATTCAGCCCCTGTCTGGTCCTTACAACCGTGTACTGCATAGTACAGTAATTACCCCTGCAAATGCATCACCCTCGAACTGGATAATCGGGTCAAAATGCATATCCATGAGCTGCCCGCCTTATTTTATATAGGCAAAACACAAAAAAGTGCATATCTGCATACTACATACGGCTTCCTAGATTATCCTATATGAGGGGCTACAGTAGGAGGTTTTAGGCCTATGCTGGGGGTCTCTAGGGGGTCTTTAGGGGGCCCTCCAGGGGGCTATAGTGGGCCCTAGAGCTTTTAGAGCGCTAACTACCCCTCTAAAGGCTTTTATAGCTATTAAAGAACTTACTTTTTAGCTATTGTAGCTGCCCTGTATATAAAAAGCTTATACTTACTAACTATATATTTAAATATAAAGCTACTAGCTTTATATTATAAAATTTAATTAATATGAATTATAAAACTTAAACTAATTCTCTTACTTTCTATTAATAACTTTTAGGTTCTATAACTACTTAAATATTATCTTTACTTTTATACTTCTCTAACTTTAAATATTATACTAAGCTAAGTTAACTATTTTTTTTAGCTATTTTTATCTCTATATTATATTTAATTTATATTTATCTTCCTCTCTTTTACTATTTAGATATCTATATTATAAGCTTTATTAAGTAGAGAAGCTCTAAAGCTTCTATATTATTATACTATTACTAATAATATTTTCCATTTTACTATATAGTTTTAATATAAAAAAGCCTTATTATTATTAGCTATACTCTTAATATATTTACCTTTTTTAATTTATTAATATTTAAGTTTTTAAATTATTTTAGCTATCTTAATATAGTAATTTATGTTATAATATGCTTTCTACTTTATATAATCCTCTTAATAAGTTTTATTAAAAAAGTAAATAATATAATAAGTATAAGCTTTAAAAGCTCTTAATTTAAAGATATTTAATACAGTAATTTCTATTAATATATAACATTCTCTTATAATAATAATAATAATAATATAAGAATAATAATAACGCTTAACTTACTTTAATATTCTATATTAGACCGAGAAAAGAAAAAAATAATATAGATTGAATATAATATATATATTTGAAAATATACATATTTACTAAGGCTAATATAATATATATATTATATTAAGTATTATATATTGTATTTTATAATATATTTATATAACGTGGTTCATCAGTCAGCGATATATATCAGTCAGCGACAAACTTTTTCCTAAACGTAGTTTACACCAAACCACTTAAAACTTTAACGCATAATAACTCCGCAACCATTATGCTAATCTACACATATGAAGATAGGATATTTCTAACTATTAAGGCGATCTGATCAGCCTACGTCACCAGCCAAAAGCTAAGTGTGTTGTATGCTGTGAAGACTTATAGTATCCCTAAAAGTTCTATAAGCTATAGAATGAATAATCAACCCTAACATAAATATGCTTAACCTTAACGATATAAACTTAATCTAATTGAAGAGAAAACACTTCTCTAATATGTTATTAAATAGGATTCTAGAGGATTTCCTTTACGCCTCGCTAATGTGGAAGATATAGCTAATCTCCTGCTGTAAGTGTGTAATAGTGAGCTTGTTAGTAAGCAATAGGCTAAGTGGTTTATAGACTTATAGCCTACTCTGAAAACTAAGTTTAATTATCTATATAATTATTAAAAGGCGTTTTAAGAAGATCTTAAGGTTATATTAAAGTAGTTTGCACTATTATATAATATAATAGCTAAGTATAGTATTTAAGAGGGTGATTTATATAATTTCAATAAAATTAGCTTTATAATAGGTATAATTATTATATTAAAAGTAGTAATATATATTAATGAAGCGGGCACGGAACACTCTTGCGGCTCGTAAGTCTCGTGAGCGTAAGGCTCAACGGTTCGAGGACTTGGAGGAGAAGATTCGAAAGTTAGAAGCTGAGCGTGATCACTGGAAGAATGTGGCTCTTGGCCGAACATAATCTCGTTGCCACTAAGTGTTCTTTTTCCTGCATGGACTGGAGGGAGTCTAGAACTCAGTCACCTCGCTGCGTCAGTTCTACATTGTTTTTCTTTGGGTTTCTACTTCGTCAGGTAAAGTGTATTAGGTATAGGTAGTGAACTAGACGTCACAACCTAATCGCAATTGACTCAGGCTGTTATCAGCGTGTATTTCTACTGCGTGAGCTTGGTTTCGTTCTCTTCTCTCTTTAAGCCTTTAACTGTTTATAGTGGTCTTACCCTGCTTAATATAGTAAACTTATATGGCGGTTCATCTCGTGATACGCCTTATGCTTTGCGCAGCCCCCTCAGTGAGACTCACAGAGGGAGCAGGCTATGTGACTAGTATAAGCCTCACGAGCTCTTGATTTAAGGATGCTTAAGAGGGTAACTTCCTCTTAAGTAATACACGCCTTTTTATAAACTCTTTAGTCTCTTTTAACTACTAGAACCTATCTCTATACTTTTTAATAAAACATAGCCTTATATTTATTAAGTTTATAGTTATAATATAGCTTTTTATTATATATAACGTGGTTTATCAGTCAGCCAGCTGGACCAGTCAGCCAGACTTTTTTTCTAAACACTCTTACGTCCAAAGCACTTAAACCTTTGACGCGTAAAATCTCAACAACCATAATGCCAATCTACACCTAAGAAGACAAAGTCATTCTTGCGATTAAAGCGATCCGATCGACACGCGCTACAGGTAATAACCTAAGCATTTCGCGTGCTGCAAAGACCTACGGTATCCTAAAGAGCACCTTAGCCGATAGAATGAACAACCGACCGCGACGCAAACAAGCTCAACCCCAACGACATAAACTCAATCCGATCGAAGAGGAAACACTTCTCCAATACGTTATTAAACAGGATTC